ATCATTAATCTTCAGTTGTCTGGCATTTTGAAATGCATGTAGATTATTTAAATTTTTTCATATCAATTTCATATTATTATTTTAATCAAAACATAATAGACTGTATCTGTGCTTCTTGAAACATATACTGTACTTTCTCCACTAGATGTCTCCAGAGAAATACAAGTAAATACTGCTAATTAAAAATGCTGGTAATACACACCCAGCTCAACTAAGGACAAATAGTTACATTGGTTACTTAGTATGAGAGTGAAATCTGTCACCTGATAGGCTTTTAAGGAAAATGAGAGTCTAAATGTATAAAGGAAAGATGGCACACTACCCACGTTTATCACAGAAAGCCCTCTCGCTTCTAAATGAATTAACGTTAAAGAGACATCATTTAATGTTTACTTTGTATTTTGGCTGTTATGATTGTTTTAATGAGGGAAAAATAATCACAAAATTTAATTTTTAGCTTAATCTGAATTCCTTTTACTGTTGGCTGAGTTCAGCATAATCTAATCATTTTAACAAAAGGTTTTCTCTTCCTCGAAGGAAGCGAAGATCTCTGGGTCTTTGCCAGGACTTCAGTTTACAAGGCTGCAAACCCAGGTACCAAGGAAGGCTACACACTTCACAGGCCAAGGTGCTTGGACACTGAGAAGTGTGCCCCCAAGAAACTGTGGCAGTAACTTCAAAGCCTTATCGGCTTTTAGAAGTAAATTCTATTACCTGTAGTTTCCAAATGGGCCAATAAGAAAGAAAAGTAGTACTTAAGAAACGCCAAGATCCCACAGACCATACATTTAAAAAACAGGGGATTTTAAATTATCTGGGGGAAATAACCATTCTGGATCATTCAAAACCAAGGAAATTCTGTTTTAAAAATCCAATAGTTTGGTATGTAATCATTCCACAATGATTCGTGTATCCAATCATCACGTGGTACACCTTAAAGATATACATTTTTGATTTGTCAAGTATGCCTCGATAAAGCTGGAAAAAAATAGTATGGTTCCTAGAAAAAAAAAATCCACTATTGGCTTGAGTATCCAGGTTTGTTGAACCCATAGGCCATGTCTAATCCCAGAGGTTGTTAGGTAAGTTTAATGTTGGTTACATGCTGGTGATAGTAAGCATGATACTTTAATCACATCACAGTCTCCAGAGTCTCCAGAGGCTACGAGGCTGCTACAAAGATCCACTGGATAATTTGCAAACTGCCAGTAAGTTAGCATCCTGATAGCTAGAAACAAATGTCACTGTCTTTCGAACACATTATTTTTCCTTGGTTGTGTAATAAACCATTTCTTTTTCATTAATGACTTACAGTTCTGGGTCAGACTTTGCAACCCTGAAAGTCAGATTTAATTACCAAGGTTTCAAACTTCCCCCAAACTGTTAAGAAAATTACATAGCCAACCCAGGGTCAGGATCCTTTCATGAAGCAGAAGAATAAGGGTCCTATGTGGAGTGAGAGATTAACCCTTGATGAGTGCTCAGAAAGGAGAGAATTGTGTCCCTCTCAAGATGTTTAAACTTTTCTCTACAGCTTAGAAAGTATTCCCAATCTCTGGAACTATTTCCTTCCCTCACCCTGCCCCAAGTTGTTGGCTATGGACCAGGGTTCCATATTAGCTTCCCTGAAGTCAGGATCCTGGCTAAAGTAGTTGCTTGGACTTCCCCCACTATGTAATATCTTATAATATCACCCTTCTGGGCTGGGCTCAGCATTTTAAGCTGCAGTGCCTTTTTTTTTTTTAAATATATTTACTCTAAAATTTTCCTTCTCTTGGAATGTTCTCCAACCTCTAAATTTACATGAAATTTATATGTACAATCTGGCCTTCATTTTCAAGATCCTCTTTGATGGCATTACTCACCCTGAATATAAATATTTGTTGAGGGCTAGCATTTGTTGACTTCCAAATATGATGCTCGAGATGGATACATTTAAGACTCAGTTATTTGAAACTCTGAAAAGAAAGATTTAAGAATACTCTTTTTATAGTATAAGCATATACAATGCTTTTTACAAAAAGTAAACCTCTACTACTGTCAGGAAGGAGAAGTCATCTTTTGAAATATGAATGCACTTCCATTTTCACGACTTTCCTCATGCAATTATTTGTCTATTTGTACCAAAGGAGGAGTCAGGGTGAATGGAAGCCATTCATTCCAGTGGACAAAACTGTGGTCACAGGAACACAGGTCACAGGTCAAAATCGTTCTTTAAAATAATCGATATATTTTCAATTTATAGGCGCTGTTAAGAAAGAAGGTAACATGACATATTAATTCTGCCTTCACCCCTATCTTCAAAGTCAAGTCCATCTGTTATCATTCTGGACCATATTTAAATAACTTTTTCACTCTTGATACATATTCTCCAAGTCTATATCTCTCGCTATACCTCATTCCTTCCTCTCCAATCAAACCCCATTGGATCTGAGCAGATTTGAGCTTCATTACAGAAACGCTTACTAACAGTTACAGCTGTCTAAAATGAAAAGGGTTGCATTAATCTTAGAGAGCATCTCAGTAAAGAGTGGATGACTATTTACAGTGATGATGTTGGAGGGATTTCTGTATTTTGAGTCTGATTTGTTTCCTGTAATTCCAAAATTCTACTGTTTTATCTTAGAAGATAAGCAATCTACATTATAATGTCTCACCAGCCTAGAATTGAAGACTTTTATATAACTGTTATCAATAATGTTCTAATAGCTAATATACTGATATCAGATAGAACTTATTTTCAAAAAACCTTTTCATTCTACTCAATAAGAAATTACTGACCACCTTCTATTTGCACAACATAAGAGTAATAGAAACCTATTGTATAAAGCAAAACAGTGACATACGAGCAAAGTTAGAGTAATTCCATTCAGAGAAATATAAGTGATAGATTAATTCTCTGCTTCCCGCAAGGGACCAGGGAAAGAATATAATTTACCTCTTACCATCTTTTCTCCAGCTCTCCTTTTGAATTGCTCTTTCATTTTCTATACCTTAATGCCAAGATTTTCAAATTGAAAAGAAGCCTCTAAACATATTTTGGAATTTATTATTACATTGTATGCTTTGTTACTAAACTAGCAGCAAGTTGCAGAATTATTTTAGTGCCCCAAGACAAAATCCTATAGCAAGCTTAATATAACTCTCCTGATAACTTGGAATCCTCTCTGGCCTAATCCAGCCTTCCCTAAAAGACCTTCCAATTGGGCAACATGGAGTTTCAGTCTAAAATTTCTCTATATTGCCAGTGGGGAAACAACTCTGATGGGCCACTACAGCGGGAGCACTTTGCAACAAGACATATTTGAATTACACTTTCACTTTAGGATAGTGTGTAACTTATTTATCCAGGGAAGCTCATTGTAGTTATTTAGCTAATTGTTGACGTATCACGTGTGGAGTGGTGAGAGTGGATATTCCCTTGGCTAGGAATTGCACTGTGTAACATTAAGAGACTTTGGTTACTCTTGATAAAACAGAAGAAGAAGAATTCTGGCAATGCCCCTGTTTCTTAATATGTATTGCATTATTCTATTGCAGTTAGACTGGTAATACTTGTTTCCAACAGGGGATGCTTTTGTCCTGTGGTTACCAAGAGATGCGCTGTCAAATGGTTAACATCATGCCCTGTGTGTAATGAAAAAACAAAATGACACATGTTTTTCTTTCCTGCTTTGCTTCAAAAGTTAGGGAAACTTAACAGAACCAGATTTATGTTAACTCTATCTATTCCTTGATAGCTGAAAAGAGAAGTGAAATGGGAGGGATGCCCCCAGTTTACACATTGCAAGGAAAATGTGATCCTTCCTACATGTTTCATCAGCAAGTTAAAATTCTTGTCCCATATTCTGTGAAAGTTTATGTCCATTCAACATTTGTTTTTAGTCAACAGCCATTACTGCCTTGTGATTATCCAACCTACATCTACCTTGGTTATCTGGTGAAAAATAATCTTTCAGTTCTGATGTGAACTGAATATGACAAGATGTGATAAGATCAAATCATACTCTCACTGAGCACAGGGACACGCACCCTGAAAGGGATATATTACAGAATGATCCTTAAAATCTAAATAAAATCATTTCCCATAAAAACCCTCTAAATTACAAAAGAATAAAACAGAAATATGAACATGAAATGAGCCAGGTAGTAAAAATAAAGAGAAAGATAAATAATATAAAAATAAAATAAATATCCTTTTGATAATGAGAAGAAAAAGAGGCTCAGTGTGCTCAGTAGACATAGCTGAAAAAGCAGATTCTAGTTGGCAACTTGAAGTTGCTGATGCCTTCTGGAGAGAGTTCAGATTCCCAGGTTGATACAGAGCTCCCTCCCAGAACTCTGCCATGTATATAAGCTCTGAGCTCTCCAAAGCCCACTGCCAGTTCTCTTCGTGGACTAACTGCAACGGAGAGACTAGAGATGATTCCTCTCTTATCCATATTTTCTCTGTTCTTGCTTGTTGTGGTTAACCCTGCAAATGCCAATGGTCATTATGACAAGATCTTGGCTCACAGCCGTATCAGGGGCCGGGATCAGGGGTAAGTCAGTGGTTTGATTTTATAAACCTTCTTTTCCCTTAGCTTGTTGTATGTACAATTCTACATACAGTTCCTTATTTATACCTCAGGGGTTTTTTTTTTCCTACTTATTACAATGTAACAAGAAAAAGGAAAAAATGAGTATTCTGTGGTTGATGTATGTCTTAAGCTTTAAGTATTACTGTCCAAAAAACTTGTGTATAATTGCTTTTTATGAAACATTGTAAGATTTTAATGTAATTAACAACATTTAACAGGGCATTTCTTCATGATTCAGTTTATTTGTGCTTTTATTTGATTCCAAATTTCTAGAATGAGGTTTCCCAGATGAAAGAATCTATTGTTGGAGACTCTCATTATGTAAACAGCTTTGAAATATCTCACATTATGTTAGGGAAAATTTCATTTATTACGAAAATTAATAGGTAATGTAACCAGTTTTCTGAATTTTTTGAAGCATTTAAGAATGCTTTTAAATTTTGCATTCTGTACAATTTGCAAAAACTTTATTTCTTAGAATAAACTCAACTATAACTTAGCATTTTTAAAGTTATCAGACATAATTTAGTAATTTAACCAACCATTTATTATTAATTTTTGAAATGGATCTTGGCACTACATCCACAATGTCTCAGAGAGATGTTCATAATGCTCCAAAGTTCCCTTGCCTTACAGAGCAAATAAGACTTCCTTCTTTTTAAGGGAGAAAAACACTTAAAATTCTGGCAGAGGATGTCTTAATCTAATTACTTCCAGGCAAAGCAATAAATTTTCCTTTGTGCAGCCATATTATTTAATTTAATCTTAGCATTCATTTACTTCTGTGATTGCTTACCTAGAAAATTACAGAGTACAGTGTCCTTGGACTTAGTAAAACCTGTCTATTTTGCTGTCTGATCTGTCATTGTTCCAGAGCCTTAAGCCACCCCCAAACCCTAAATGAGCACATGTTTGGTTTAAAAGTGTCAGTGAAATACCTACTATTAAAAGTAATAAGACACGTTGTTTAATTCTATTAGGTTAACTTTTGAAACAATGGCATTTTACTCTCAGAGATGTATAATTTCCTCTCTCTCTCTGTCTCTCATAGACTTTAGTTTTTCCAATGATTCAGGAGGATTGGATCAGAATGAGATTTGTGCTGACTAGAATCACATCTTTTTTTAGAATTGCATCTTTGATAATCGAATCCACATATTAGCTTTTTTCTTTTTGTACTATCTGACATGTAGATATGAAAAACTAGTTGTCATTAGGACATTAACTTTCTTTCCTTCCATCTTCCAGCCCAAATGTCTGCGCCCTTCAACAGATTTTGGGCACCAAAAAGAAATACTTTAGCACTTGTAGGAACTGGTATCAAGGTGCCATCTGTGGAAAGAAAACGTAAGTGTCATTTTTTCCTTAATGTGCCAGTTCCAAAGACAACACCACAATGCCCATGTCTTTCCTTGGACATACACATGATCTTGAAAATATTCTGCAAAATTGTGAGCTTCAAAAAAATGGATCACATATGAATAAAGACATTTTCCCTGAATTTCTCCCTCTACTAGTGGAACTCATGTTATTCCTGAATCTATGGCAATGGCCATGTGATCTGGTATAGAATCACTGACAGTTTGACTATATCATTTCTACTCCTGGTTTGGCCTCTTTTATCTTAGGCAAGTCAATTAACCTCTTTGCCTCAGTTTCCTCATTTTATTTAAAAAAATGCCAGAAGAACAAATTGATCTGAAATACCAGGGTTTTCAAGTAAAAATTAATGTTTGCCTACAGTCATTTAGAAATTATATAAAGTACACCAGTTTACCCCAGAGTTTTCATCAAAGCTTAAAGTTGGAAGGGACTTAGGTTTCATATCTTCATTTAATCCAGTCATTCAATCCCAAACTGCCAGATCTCCAGGGGTCCCCAAAGGTGATAATGGAAACCCACCACTATATTACTATTTCAACAGCCAAAAAGATGATTACTTTTCAACTTAGTTATATACTTCATTGATTAACCTAGAGTTGGAAAACATTTTTATTACTTGATAGCTTATTGGTTTAATCAATTAATAAATATTGGTAGAAGAAATATAATCCTAGACATATAAAGGTTGATAAGTACTCATGTCGTGCAAATTCTTCATTTTAAGATGAAGGAGCTGAATTATAGATAAAAAAAAAATTAAAGATGTCATCCTCAGTCAGTGAAACAGTAGAAATGGCTCCTGCCTGCTTCTTATTACTTTGAACAGCAACCTCAGTGAAGGACGACTTCAGAACCAGAATATCTGAAGCACATCATCATTAAACTTCAGTTACTCTAAATAGGTGGAAGGATTGGGGGATTGTTAAAAAACATATTAACTTAATAATATTGGTTACAAATATTAACTGTGGAATCACATAACATTTTGGAGTCTTGTTTCTTTGCCTGTGAAATGCAGATTTAATACTTGGAGAGTTTCTGAAGGTAAAATGAATGAACTAATGAACTAATGTGAAATTACTAAGTAACTCTAACTCATAACATTAATCGTACTTAAATTTAAACTACTTTAAGTAAATTGGGTATATGCTGGTGTGAAAAGGAGGTGTGCGCAGATGCCTATTTAAAATGCATAGGGTTTTCTTTATTTTACTAAGAATCATGTATTCAAGGCATATAACCTTATCTGGACTGTGCCTCCCCATGGTAACCAAGGCTAGGACCCCACAGGACATTGCTGCCCATTCCCACATGTTGGCTTAACAGAGTTTTAACCGATGTTACTTTTTGACCTGGACATTATTCTTATTAGTTTGCATAAATCTGCTAGACTTGTGGATCATTCACACAACTACAGCGTAAGTCAGTAGTTACAAGGATCCTGGCCATGATTTAGGTCAGGCCCCAGTTGGGAACTCCAAAGCTCTGGATTTTTCTCGCTTTGTCCTTTGTATTCTTGGTTACCATGAGGCCTATTTGGAAGGCACACTAACTGCATAAGAAAGGACCTGCTCTCTGAAATATTTAGGGAAAATTTTTATTACACACTTCCCGGAAGTTAAGGAAGTCCGATACAATCTTACTTTAACCATCTAAATATGTTAGAGATGCTGACGCTTGTACAAAGCTTATGCCAAGATTCTTTCTTGCTTTCCATTAAAAAAGAAAAAAAAATTCCTGCTTTGAAGCTTGGCTTTTTACCAGAAATATAACAGTGTCTCCTTTGTTTAATTATATTAGCTTATTTCCCTTAACTTCATTTTCACAAACACATTAACATCTGTGCTCTGGAATAAATGTAAATGCTAGTTGCTAGTTTCAAACAACCAAAGGAATCAGTAACATTGACAGGAAGAATGCCTGATTTGCCATCTGCTTGCAGCTGCTAAAATTTCCAAAGTCATCTTTAGGACTTTATGTATTAGTTGACAGAAATGTTTATCTTCTGTTTGAATAGCTGCTTTGGGGATTTGGGGGAAGTAACTGGGTGGGTCTAATGAAAAACAGGAAGTTTCCTAGGTTTACGGTATTCCCCACAATATATATTGGCTCAATAATATAGTATTTTGTAGACCTCCTTCAAAAAAATGTCAGTGACATTTTCAGTTGGCATTTCCATGAGATTTTAGATACTATTCAGAAAATGAAGATAAATTTCCCACTTTCAGAGATATGCACATTCATGATATTTTTTTACTCTTATTTGTCCTACTGACAATATGGGAACTTTGAGTTTTGTGTAGCATAAATTTCCTGGAAAAAATACTTCTTTGTTGTCATTGCTTTCAAAGCATTAACTCAGACAACCGTATTGTTCAAGTATCATATGAAATTGCAATTGCCTGTTTTGGAATTCTATACCATATAGTGCATTAATATGAGCATATGTTATAGAAATTTTTGCTACTTTAGCAATTTCTTCTTCTATTTACTATTTTACATAAAGTATTATTAGTCTTTTTACATAAAGTATTATTAGTCCCAAACTAAAAATTATGTATCTCATTCTTATTGTTTATGATATATGCTAAAGCTAAAGTATAAGCAATTCTTAATCAATCCCTTGGCATCCAAATATTCACATTTATTTTTATGGGTAGCCATGTAAATAAAATTATTTCAGGGACCATATTTGCATAAGGCTCTCTTACAGTCTGTATATGTTTCCGATACCAGCTATTCTTGAAATTATATTAAAATTAGAGAACAGTTTGAAAATTTAGTTTCCCACTTATCTCTATATTCTTATCTTTTAACTATCCTTAAGCCAATATTCCATGCCAGAAATTTTATTCTCATCTATAGTTTCATGTTTTACTACCTATAAGTGAGTTAATAAATTTTTCTGACGTTCTTAGTTCCTAATAACCTTATACTAATAAACATTTATAGCTATTTATAGTTTACAAAATTATTTCCAAAGCATTGTTTTATTTGAGATTCACAACTACCCATGAATAAGTATTTTAGCTACTACCTTCATGTTAACTAGTTGGGGAAACTGAGACTCAAATTTATTAAATGATTTGCTCAAGGTCACACATCAACTAAGTAGTGGAACTGGGAACCAAACTCCATTCTTCTGGCTCAAGATCCTGGAATTTTTCCACCATGCCATGAGGCTATAGAGAGAAATCAAGCTAATATAAATACCTTGATGTCATAAACAAACAAACAAAAAAACTGGATTTCTAAATTCTCAATAAATCAAGGCAATAAGTAATATGTTTTGCTAAGTTTATGTCAAAATATATCCTTTGTAGTTCTCCCATTTTAATATTAATTTTCTTCCAATGTATAGGACTGTGTTATATGAATGCTGCCCTGGTTATATGAGGATGGAAGGAATGAAAGGCTGCCCAGCAGGTAAAGTTTCAATTACTGAATTAAATGAGGAATTTGTCTTGTTTGAGGAAAAAGAGTTGAAGTAGCTTATAGCGAAGCCAATTGTGTGTGTGTGTGTATTTAGCACCATGATAAATCCAAGATATATCCCCCATATCTTGGTGTTAATCATGACTTTATCATGTTGATAAAGTATTCAAATATACATCATATACACTAAATGCTGGACAACAGAAGCTTATTCTAAATTTAAATTAGTTCAACTTTCCTTCAAGAACAAAAATCCCCACTACAAAATCCCTTTCTTTGAATTTGTCTAGGAACATGGGCTGACTACTTGGCAAGGCATCATCTTCTCTGCTTCAACAGCTCTGATTTTATAACGTTTCTCAGATTGAAAGTTAGTCTCCTGTAACTTGCCAACTAGAGAAAAATTAGTTCATCTATTTCCTCTTTGAAATGACAGCCATTCAGATAGTTAACACAAATCATCACACCCTTCCTCCAGCTACCCTCTCTTCCCCAACAGAATCTTCTCTTCTCTGGGCTCATGGCACCCAGTTTGAATGTGATATAGACTTTGGAGTCCTTACTGTAATTGACAGCAACCCATGAAAAGCCTCTAATCCAGTCATTTTTTTTCCTTCTGATTGTGATCCAAGACTGGTGTCTACTATCTATGTGTGTCCAGGAAGCTGAGAAAATATTAAGACAAATACCTCAGTTTGGGGCGGGTGGGCTCCTGAACTTTGGTTAATGTTATTGGTAACCATGTCATATTGTTAACTCATGCTGAATTTTTAAGTAATTAAAATTGATTACAGATCTTTTTTAAATGAATACTGTCAAATCAAGTCTTCCTTCGGGATTTGTTTTTTTTTTTAACTTAGGCGTGGGACTTAAATGGAACCCTGTGACATTTAACTGTCACATTTGACTCATTTTTCCCATCCTGTTGGGGTGTTTTTAAATCCTGATTTTGTGACTTAATTTACTAATTGTGTACCTAGTCTTGCTATATTCACAAAGGTAATAACCATTTCTCCTATGATATGATCCAAATCATACTAAATTTTAAATAAGACAGAGTCATAAAAAATAAGTTGGCTGCACCCAAACTTCAGGCTGACATTCATATATTAATCTTTCTCCTGAAGTTCAGAAGATGTATTCTAGAAGTATTAGATAATTTTATATATTTCCTTCCTGAAATTATGATGAAAAGAAGCAGGTCTACATATTTCTTTCAGGGACCCAAATCTGTATAATTACACCCCTATACCTCCTTCCTGAAATTATGATGAAAAGAAGCAGGTCTACATATTTCTTTCAGGGACCCAAATCTGTATAATTACACCCCTATACCTAACAGTATTATACTATTTAGGAGCTTTAAGCCAACACGAAAAAATAAATTACCTTTGCCATTGTCAGTAAGAAGTGAGGAACTTTTGTTGTTTTCAGTGAAATAATCAAAGATCCTTACTAATAATTGTAATTGAACCATATTGACATAGCAGATTTGACATGTAAATAGACTAAACATCAAACAAGGATAATAATTGAAAATTCATTTTCCCTCAACACCAAGAATATATGGAATGATATTTTTCAATAGTACTTTATTATTTGACATTCAAAAGGCAACTTTCACATAAAATTGATGATTTATAGAACTGTATTGCTAAAATTATCATTTAATATATTGGGGGGCTTTGTGTAAAGGTTAAATTATTGTAAAGTAACATTCTTGAAGTTTTTTCCTAAGTACTTATTCATCTCTTGATTATTTCAGTTATGCCTATTGACCATGTTTATGGTACCCTGGGCATTGTGGGAGCCACCACCACGCAGCGTTATTCTGATGTCTCAAAACTGAGGGAAGAGATCGAAGGAAAGGGGTCATTCACTTACTTCGCACCAAGTAACGAGGCTTGGGACAACCTGGATTCTGTAATTCATTATTTTTATGAATATAAATTTTTTTACTGCTATTGGTATACTTTAATTGGTTTACTGAGTTGGAAATGAATAGAAATTGTATATCTTTCTGTCGTACATATATAAGGATACATAAAAGGATGAGTTAATTGAGGGTAAGGAGAAAATCATTTTAATACATCCATAAATGGAATAACACCCCAGTAGGCTCATGGACTAATAAAGGCAAACTAATAGTGGATTGAACAAGCACTTTATCATTATTCTATTTTACTCCTTTCCTCCTTCCCTTTTGGTTGTGAAGAAATATAGGTAATTTTAAATGACATATCTCATAGAAAGGCAAGTTAAGAAGCCTAGTGGAATTTAAAATTTTTAATAAGCTATATTATACATATACTTATTAGTTTAATTATATGTAAATATATATGGCTGTTCAGAGACTGACAGATTTATAAACGTGTGTGGATAGTTAAATTGAAGGGTTGTAAGCAATACATTTAATTTTCAGGCTTTTTTTGTGCATAATCTGATTTACAACACACTAAATAATGACAGTATACAAATCTGTAAAACTGGTATAGAAATATATTCCTACTTTCTACTTGATATGAAGATGAACTGATAATTACTACTAGAGTCATACAATATTTAGTAAAACTTAGGCAGATTCTTCTAGATTTTATCTTGCTTCATTAACTGTGAGGTTAGTTGCTTGCATTATAGAACTTTCTCTCTTCTGGTTGTCTTTGACCACATCTCTAACCACCTTTCTGGGCCTTTTTGCAGACTCCTCTTCTTCCATGCCTTTAAAATGGGTCTTATTAAGGTATCTTCCAGGAACTATACTCTGAAGTTTAGATGCACTTCTGATGGCTTCAGCTTTCACTTTAATGCATAGAGCCATGGAATCTGTGTTTCTTGAATCCCAGGAGAATATTTCTAACATCTATCTTAATATTTCTCCTTGGATACACCATCTGTATCTTTAAACAAAACGTTATCTAAAATAGATGCCACTTTCTTTCTCCCCATCAACAACTGCTTTTCTGCTGTCTTTTTTCCATAATTGGCAGTACCAATCTCAGAGTTCAAACTTGAAAATTATGAGTTATCCTTACTTTGCCTCTCTTCAGTTGTTAGAAACTACTGTTAGTCACCCATATCTCATTTTTCATCCTCATAATAGTCTTTTTCCTGCTATGCATTACCACCAGATTAACCTTCCTAAAGCCCAGGCTAATCATTATATTCCAAGCCCACAGCAGCCTCAATGGCTCCCCATTGCCAGTTTAATTTACTCTTTACTTGGGCATTAAAGTCTTCTATGTTATGGTCCCATATACTTTCTAAAATTTCTTCTTAACATTATCTGAGAAACGTAAAGGCATATAATAACCACACTGGACAACTTCTGCTTTCCCAGCGTTCACCCTGTGCCAGCAGCTGGACTTAGAATGATCATCACACCGTCCCTACCCTGTCTACCTACCCTGCAAGACCTGTCTCCAAACCTGAATTGCCAGCCATCTTCATTTGACCTGGAAAGCATTTTTTTTCTCCTTCCGTCCTTTATCTTACTATGTTTATTTTTGCCTGCTGCTATAGAATAAGTACCTCAAAGGTCGAGACTTCACCTTACTTATCATTGTATTTCTCATAACACCAAGTACAGTATGATATAGTGTGGTATTGGATAAATTAAAAGGTACAGGACGGTTGAATTCTTGAATTTGTCATAGAATAAACATAAAACGGTTATTAAAACTCTGATGTTGTACACAAATATAATGCCACTTTTATTTTGTTTTCCACTCAAAGTACTTTAAATATCTGATAATTTCATATTCCCTAAGCCTTTACAGCAAGATCATCTCTTCATCAATACATTTATTAAAAATTTTGTTTTGTCTCTAAAAATGTCCAAGTGCTCTGTAAGAGCTGGAACCCTTTACTGGGTACCTCTACTTACAAAATTTCTTAATCAATTGAAATAGTATAATTTTAAGTTATTTATGTCAATTTGGTTTGACCGTCTGGGTAATTCAATGAGAAAATAACAAGAGAGTAGAAACAGAGTGATTATAAGATTTTAAATAATTAACTATAATAAAATAAACTTCTGTCATTTCAATTTTTCCTAGGATATCCGTAGAGGTTTGGAGAGCAACGTAAATGTTGAATTATTGAATGCTCTACATAGCCACATGATTAATAAGAGAATGTTGACCAAGGACTTGAAAAACGGCATGATTGTTCCTTCGATGTATAACAATTTGGGGCTCTTCATTAACCATTATCCTAATGGGGTAAGTTTCATTAATAAAAAGTACCTTTTTCAATAACATTGCCCTTAATTTTTTTCTATACCTTTTATATAAGGTTCACAGAAATAATAAAAAGTCAGTGAATATAATGTAAGTGCCATATCAAGACTTTTCCCTACATCTAGAGCATGTAAATTTCTAATTCAGTGAGTGATTTCTATTAAAGAGTGATTGCAAGGAAGAAATTAAATCGATAGTTCATTGATAGTAGACTAAGGTGTTCTACAAAAGGAAATTTTAGTATTTGATGTGTTTGAAAACTAATAAGCAGAAAAAATAATAAGTATTTGTCAGAGAATTTATCAGAGAAAAATCAGAGAATGAGTATTCTTTTATTCACCCTCTGGCTACTATACTGATTTAGGTTCTTGTGTGTTTTAATAAAGTCTTTGTGGGAGACGTCCAACCAGGGTCATAGAGCTCTTTCAACAGTCAGAGTTCCAGGAAATAAAGGGTCAGTGAGGAGTCAATATTTAGGAAATCACTGAAATAGAACTGATTATATTTATGCAATAATTGTTTGTTTCTGTCTCAGAACTTTCTTTTAGGACTAATTAGACTTCTTTATGTAACTCATTGACCTACATTAGAAATAGTGTATGACTATCTCTATGAAAGAAATAGAGGAATAAAAGCAATAATTTAAACAAAAAAAATGTTTTTGCCTTGCATTTCTAGGTATGTTAAGTGTAACTGGACTTGGGTTCTCAACTGGTTGCATTTTTCCCCAGGTTTTGTTTTTTTTTTTGGACATAGTAATATGTAAGTCTTCACCCTCAGAATTTACTTTCAGAATGTCAGTTCTTTCATGTTACATTTACCAGTAATCATGAAAAATAGGAAATGGGGGCTTGCAGTCTCAGTGGTCAATAGATAGCTGTGATTTCTAAAATTTGATTTTCTCAAATAATTAGGTTGTCACTGTTAACTGTGCTCGAATCATCCATGGGAACCAGATTGCAACAAATGGTGTTGTGCACGTCATTGACCGTGTCCTTACACAAATTGGTACCTCAATTCAGGACTTTATTGAAGCAGAAGATGACCTCTCATCTTTTAGAGTAAGTACAAGAAGTAATAGCAGATTGTCTGGGACCACTGAAATTCCTCCTCTTTCCCTGTCAGAATCTAAAATAATTATAAAAAGCTATTAAATCTGGCAGACACTTAACCAATGTATTTCTTGAAATGAAAAGGTTTTCATTTTATGCAGAAGAAATCATCTCCTTATATGAAATAATAATATTTATGTGGACATGATAGATAAAGAATGATTAGTTTCATGACTGTAGTGTACTTAGTGCATTTAGAATGAATTCATCAATTATTACGTTTACTGCTGTATATTGTTCAGTCACACAAGCATTGGCAGAATTCCCCATCTTACATACAGTTTGAGGAAAGTTTGAAAAGACATGGTTGTTTGCGTCAAAAGATAATATTTTAAAGATCTAACAAGAGTTATATCTAACTTCTATAGTTTTCTATATAATCAACTCCCTCATGTCCACCCAGACTGAGTGTATTGTAATTTTCTTCTGGATTTGCAATGTGCCAGCCTCTAAAAAGCACATTTGTGTTTCAGGCAGCTGCCATCACATCTGATATATTGGAGTCCCTTGGAAGAGATGGTCACTTCACACTCTTTGCTCCCACCAATGAAGCTTTTGAGAAACTTCCACGAGGGGTTCTAGAAAGGATCATGGGAGACAAAGTGGCTTCAGAAGGTACTTAACTGTTTCTCTCTAGGAGAAGCCTCCCAGAATTCCAAGAAAGGAAATGAAAAAGAGATCAAGTCCTGCCAGCATTATCACCTTTGATAAGCAAAGGCAAAGAAAAACTTTTATTCTGAGGTGGACTATAAAAATCTTAAAAAACAAAATCCTTGAAAGAGTAGGCAAAGTAATTCAATAATTAATTTAATAATTAAAATAATTAATCAGGGTATCCTAAAGATCACATTCTTCTGCACTGCTTTCAAGTAACTAAGTAGCAGACATTAAAAAGAATTAGAAAGTGTGGAAAAGAAATATTAGATCATCAAACTTTAATACTGTATACATATTGTTCAATGCTTTTAATTCTAAATTTACACTAAAGTTGAGTTGAGAAAATTGCATGGTTCTCTTTGGCCATTACCTATTGATACACAGAGCTTGGCTTCTTTCCAGTCTCCTTTTTAGTTTCAACTAGATTTTACATTGTGACTAGCACATTTCGCTTACTCAGCCTACCCCAAATTGGCTTAACCAATTTACGATGAGATATTTTGGTGCAAATATAGACAGTTTAGGCACAGATCCCTTCAGAAGTCCTTCAAGAAAGCATCTTTATTTTGGTTATTTTCTAGATGTTGCCTTTAGGGTTGTCACAAACCTTCAATTTGTAAAAAAAACAAAAAAACAAAAAACATAGTATCTGCAAAGTGCAAAATAGTGAAGCTCAATGAAATGAAGTATGCCTGTAGAGCTGTTCTGTCATGCGTAGCTGATGTAAGATACTGCTTGGGTGTTTGGAACAGGTATCACTAGCAAATAACTTTATAGGCCTTCTGAAAGGAGGAATTATTCTTTGTTCCCATCGGAAATTCCTTTCTTATGATAGAGGGAACTTGATCTAACACATTTTCTAGAACTACACAAATAATTCCATGCAGCTGATCTTCTTTTCTTCTTACTTCCTACTGAGCTGAGCTAATTTTATTGTAGAGTTGATGGAAAAAACATTTTGAGAACATAAACAGAATTTTAAAACCTTAGGTCAATACTTAGGTCTTATATATATTATATTTCTTAGGAATACTTAGTTCCACAGTGAAACACATCTTTTAAGGGTCAAATGCTATTCTCCTTGATCTGAAAGCTTACTCTTTGTACTTTGTCCTCCAGCTCTCTTGAAGTACCACATTTTAAACACCCTCCAGTGTTCCGAGGCTATCATGGGAGGAGCAGTATTTGAGACTCTGGAAGGAAACACAATTGAGATAGGGTGTGATGGTGACAGCATAACAGTAAATGGAATCAAAATGGTGAACAAAAAAGATATTGTGACAAATAATGGTGTTATCCATTTGATTGATCAGGTCCTGATTCCTGATTCTGGTGAGCAACAGTTTCATATTGTTCTACCTACTATCGTTTACCAATTAGATGCCTTAAGAGTAGGCAGATGGAAAATAAATGTGCAGTATAAGGAATGCCATATGAAGCACAAACACAAAATTAACAATGAGCTGAGTACTAAATAGGCAGCTTGTGTAGTCATGGGCATTCCATGCATTGACCTCTGGCTTTCCAGAGTTTCTTTTCTTTTTTTTTTTTAATGAATTTTTATTGGGATATAGTTGATTTAAAATGTTGTGTTAGTTTCTGCTGTATAGCAAAGTGAACCAGTTATACATGTACATATATCCACTCATTTTTAGATTCTAATCCCATATAGGTCATTACAGAGTATTGAATAGAGTTCCCTGTGCTATACAGTAGGTTCTTATTAGTTATCTATTTTATATATAGTAGTATGTATATGTCAATCCCAATCTCCCAATTTATCCCTTCCCCCCCTCCCCCTTGGTAACTGTAAGTTTGGTTTCTACATCTATGACTCTATTTCTGTTTTGTAAATAGGTTCATTTGTGCCATTGTTTTAGATTTCACATGTAAGTGATATCATATGATATTTGTCTTTCTCTGCCTGACTTACTTCTAATACCTAATATTGATAAAGATTATCACAGTGCCAGAGCTTTTCTTGAAAACAGAAGGGAAGATATAACCAAATGGTTACTTTTGGATAAATGAAAGACCTATGGCACTCACAAGAGCAGAGAGATAAGAGGCAAGTAATAAAGAATCCAAGAAAACTGCAAAGCAAGAAGTCAGAAAGATATTGTCCTTCTGAAAGTCTTTGGTCATCAACCCCAAAAAAGGGAAGCTGGAACTCTCTTACTAAGGAAAGGCAGGATGTCACATTGCCAGTACAGCAAATAGCTTATGGAAAATAGCCAAGAACTGATTTACTAATTTCATGATTATGGTAATAACAACGATGACATTGTTTGAATGGTAATGGTTTATGTTACAGCCAAACAAGTTATTGAGCTAGCTGGAAATCAGCAAACCACTTTCACAGACCTTGTGGCCCAATTAGGCTTGGCATCTGCTCTGAGGCCAGATGGAGAATACACTTTGCTGGCACCCGTGAATAATGCATTTTCTGGTATGTACTGGACACTGTCATTCCTACTCTTTCCTCCTCTACACACATTGTTTCTTCACCATGATTGTTTGCATTAAGAAATAATAGATATTTTGTGAGGTGTTAATTAGTTTCTTTACCAGCTACACATACAATGCATTAGCACTATGCAGTGTCTATTAAAATGTCCTTCATTTCAAAACATTTCATTATAATAGATAATAGCCTACAGGAAGTGAAAGTTTGTGGTAAGTAGTCTTCAGTTGTTCTGTGAACCTGATCATATTTCCAGCACACATAATGGATGTATTAACAGATCTTAAGAAAAATAAATCTGATTTGTTTATTTAAACGCCAACATAATAATATTTAGGAATACGTAGGTGCATTTTGCAACTCAGAATTTGAATGTAAGGTATCAAATTATAAATAAATACAAACAAGAGAAAATGATACACTTCCATATTATGATGTGAACTGTTATTACAAGTATTTGACCTAGTAGCTGCTATTCAAGGACTGTGTTTAGATTAATACAACCTGACACTTTTTCCAGAAAAAAATGACTTCACAAAGACATATTTAAATTGTTAGGCAAAATTTAGCAATTAAAAACTAAATAAGTATCACCTTTTTAATGTTTTTCCAAATACTAGGTCGGGACATAGAAAATTATTAACGAAAAAATTCAAATTCCTAGAAATGCTGTTTTTTCTCTTCGTAATAATAATATCCATACATGTTGACATCAACCCATCTTTAAGAGGTTACATGCTTCAACTCTCTCTCCATAAATAAAAATAAATGTAGAAATGATTCATCAGTGGTTTCTCATGTGACTAATGGACATCAGATTCTCAGAGAAAATCTTGGCCAGGTTTAGAGTTTAACTTTTGTCAGTGACCACATAAAACCATGTGGCCCTCACATAGATGAAGCCCATTGTTTGGACTGCTTGGAATCATATTGTAGTCATTTGATGAAATAGCTCATGGAATTTCTAATTTGTGCACAGAATTCTTAGCTTTTGGCATATAGTCATCTCATATACTATATATGTGTAGGATCCATAAGATCTATAGTGGTAGGGATTACCCATTTTCATGATTTTCTCTTACAGGAGAAACTTTGCTTTCTAAACAAAATAACACTCTTTTGTAATGAATTTACTTATAGATGATACCCTGAGCATGGATCAGCGTCTTCTTAAATTAATTCTGCAGAATCACATATTGAAAGTAAAAGTTGGCCTTAATGAGCTTTACAATGGACAAAAGCTCGAGACCATTGGCGGCAAACAGCTCAGAGTCTTCGTGTATCGCACAGTAAGTGAATCCGAATGAGATAAAATATCCACGCTGGCCTAAATGTCAAACGATGTGCCCTTGTCAAAGACTGTGCTTTTTTCTTTTCTTTAACATCTTTATTAGAGTATAATTCCTTTACAATGTTGTATTAGTTTCTGCTGTATAACAAAGTGAATCAGCTATACGTATACATATATCACCATATTTCCTGCCTCTTGTGTCTCCCTCCCACCCTCCCTATCCCACCCCTCTAGGTGGTCACAAAACACCGAGCTGATCTCCCTGTGCTCTGCAGCTGCTTCCCACTAGCTATCTATTTTACATTTGGTAGTGTATATATGTCCATGCTACTCTCTCACTTCGTCCCAGCTTACCCTTCGCCCTCCCCGTGTCCTCAAGTCCATTCTCTACATCTGCGAAAGACTGTTCTTGTAACAAAAGTTCCTTAGAATTTTATTAATGTGGTCTTAATAGTAAATATTTATAGGAAGATCAGGGAACTGAATAGCTTGTTTGAAAAGACTTTGAGGAAAGTATACAAAAAGTGCTGTGTATTAATAATTCTGATAACTTGCACTTGTTTCATTATAAACAACATTTTCTAAAGCATTATTTCAATTCCATAAATCACTAAAACTCATTTAAAATAAGCTTTTGCTTTACAGAGTACCGTACTTTACTGTTTACAAGGTAATTTTTATATTGAGTCCAATGATCTTTTAATGTATGACCATCATCCAACCACCGAATCTCTTTTGAATGGCTTTCAGGATAAACTTTTATAGGCACATAAAGATTTCTAGTAAGTGGTTCTAATGTGCTTTATCTGAGGGAAAATTTCTAGAAAATATTTATTATCAGAATTACAGTGCTACTTAGTGGTGCTGTTCAGTTTCTGTCCAGGCAACCTTGCAGCTACAGTTAAAAAGAACTCATAGGAAAAAAAAAAAAAAAAGAACTCATAGGAGGTCAAGCATTACCTTGAACTAAACATGACACACAGTGCTGTGCACCATAGTTCCACAAGGCCAAGACACACATTTTAAATGATGCAGAAAATGCGCCGCATTCTAAATGATACATATATAAATATTATTGTTCAGAAATGCTATAACTTAATCAGTAATTTGACTTAAAATTGATAGTGTCTTACAGTCAAGATAATATACTAAATATTTGTGAAGAGGCAGTAAAGTCACGAAACTTTATGGTTAAAGAGGGTCTTAAAAAGTTAAAGGGTGAAAGTTCACAAAAGAGGGTCTGTAAGAATGATTAGAACCTAGAGAGGAATGATAGGAAATGTAGAAGTGGAATTATATGGAAGTTTTAAATTCACTGACAAAACTACCTGCCCCACACATAGGGTAGCTTGCTTAGTAGTGGAAGACCTAGTTGAATAGGAAAAGTGAGGTCAGAGTGTACAAGACCTTAAAAACAGAGGAGAGAAACTGTTTTTTCTCGCATTAGAAGTCAGGTGACCTCTTAGAAGAGCCCATCCAGAAATTCAATTATGTAGCTTCTTTTACGTAGGGAATTTCAAGTAAGGAAATGGGCAACTGTATCTTTATTTCTTTGCTAGGCTGTCTGCATTGAAAATTCATGCATGGTGAGAGGAAGCAAGCAAGGAAGAAATGGTGCCATTCACATATTCCGAGAGATCATCAAACCAGCAGAGAAATCCCTCCATGAAAAACTGAAACAAGATAAGCGCTTCAGGTAAGCTTACTAGTTTCACCTCCACAAGAGAATAAGAGCTTTTGGCATAGTTTTGTTTCACAGTAAGTATTCCAAAATCCATTCGGTACTCAGTACTGCTGAGAACAGAATTTAGAATAGAAAGTCTATACAAATGTTTTTAAAATTAAGATATGTTCTTAACAATATTTTTCTTCCTGGTGCAGCATAATATGACTTGGTGAGTAAAAAACAAACAAACAAAAATCAACCTAACAGACTGAACTACTTCTTGCAAATTTTTTTATAATTAAGTTTTTAAAAACTGATAGTATATTCTAGCAAAGACTATTTTGCAGAATATTAAATAAAGTGTGACCTCACCAAGATTTATAGGGGGAAAACAGAGTTTAGGAAATTTAAGAATCATATGTATATTTAAATAATTTCCCCATGATAAAACTTTAACAGTAAATTGCATTTGAAACATATGAAAACATATGAACCATTTTCTCATGCTTCCACGTATAGGGATTCTACTCTATTTCATGCATGGTGGGTAGGCTTACCTAGATTAAATCTAATAAAATAAACATATGTCCATATGTCCTTCCTGCTTAGCATCTTCCTCAGCCTACTTGAAGCTGCAGATTTGAAAGAGCTCCTGACACAGCCTGGAGATTGGACCTTGTTTGTGCCAACCAACGATGCCTTTAAGGGAATGACTAACGAAGAAAAGGAAATTCTTATTCGTGAGTAGAAGTGAACACCAGATATATTTGCCCCTTGATTTCAGGATCTCATTTCTTCCTCAAGCGTTCCTGCCCAGATATCAGCCCCCAAAGTGTCCCCTCTTTCCTATTCATGGCTAGCCTTCGTCTCCTTTAATTCCATTTGGAATAATTAGAGGGTCACTCATAAATGTTCTCAATTAACTGCTTACCGTAATGTTGTTGGACTAGATGTTCACTTATGTTGTCTCTATTAAAGGGCACACAACTAGGTGACAAAGAAAGAAATAGTCACAATTTCAAAAATAATTTGACTTTTTTCTCCCAGTAAGTTGGATAATATTTTGATTGAACTTATTGAAGGGACTGCATGTTTTGACATAGCATTGATATCACATTGAGAGAACAATGATATTATGAGAAATTACAGTGTGGAAAAAATAAAGACAAAGAAATATTTTTCTCCTTCATCCTCATAATATCAAAATGTCAAAATATATAATATGTTATTAAATAAATATATATTTTTCCCCCTAGGGAACAAAAATGCTCTTCAAAACATCATCCTTTATCACCTGACACCAGGAGTTTTCATTGGAAAGGGATTTGAACCTGGTGTTACTAACATTTTAAAGACCACACAAGGAAGCAAAATCTTTCTGAAAGGAGTAAGTTCTCTAGTATGAATCTATGAGAGTGTTAATCTATTATTCAATTATCCTAATGTTCATATTTCATTAAATTTCCCATTGACATTATCCCCTGTTTTAATAGGTTAATGATACACTTCTGGTAAATGAATTGAAATCAAAAGAATCTGACATCATGACAACAAATGGTGTCATTCATGTTGTAGATAAACTCCTCTATCCAGCAGGTTGGTAATTATTGAACTGATTAATGAAAACATAACTCTTTTTCAATAGAAACGTAGATTTTTATTTCATCCATTCTTACAATATTCATTTAATATTCCTCTTCACAGACACACCTGTTGGAAATGATCAGCTGCTAGAAATACTTAATAAACTGATCAAATACATCCAAATTAAGGTACAGATGTTATTGCATGTGTTTCTAATGTGTTGAACAGACATTGCAGGTTTAACATAAGAAACTAGAAATGTATACATTAATAAGTAGATGTATACTGGGATTGCATTGCTCTTTGTTGATTATAATGGTACACTGGCATCATTTCTTCATGGTTTTATTTAAGGAGGATTTAATAAAAGCTACTTGGGGCCAAGCAGAATGTTAAGTATTATGAGAAATATTAAGTTGAATCAGATATGGCCCTTTATTCAAAAAGTTTACAGTCCAGCAGGGAAGATAAGACATGTAGATAAGAAACTATAATTTTTCTATTATCAAATATTTTTGCTACAGAATATAAGGGAAAGATAAAATATTTGCTTATAAGAAGTTGTCACCAATCACAATAGTTAAAGGTAAAGGAATATTCTAGGATAAATATTGGGTTGAATATTGGTAGGGTTAAAGCACCAGACAACATAGGGAGTATTATTTAATGAACTTTTAATTTGGGATTCGCTATTCTATAATTTTTAAAACTCTGAGTAACAAATCCAACCATTTTATGCCATGTTGCCCAACAGCAGGAAATTGGAAGATGATTTATATGAAGCCTTCATTTTTACTGAATATAATGATAGCTTCACTGTCTTTACTTCAGTGAAAATTAAAAATCATGGTGCCAAGATTTTGTTAATACATCTACTACATTTCATGTTACTAAATATAATGTTTATTTTCAGTTTGTTCGTGGTAGCACCTTCAAAGAAATCCCCATAACTGTCTACAGTAAGTACATAATGAATATTTGTCACATATAAGTGGCAAGATGTTAAAAAAAAAAAGAAAACCCAAGAATTTTCTTTGTGTTTACTGAGATGATTGATAATCTGGTATTTAGAATTCCAAACAATGGCAAATCTCATGTCACTTGAAACAGGGCTTGAGGTCTGGATGAGACCTCTCAGCCTTGACTATACCCTTCAACTCCAATGAACCACTTTCTCATTCATCTGCTAGCTTGATATAGATATAATTGCTAGCATTGCAAAGACGCAGGGGAAAAAAGACCCACAAACATACAAAGAGGAGAGCTAGCTAAAAGGCACTTGAGAGCTATCTGAAAATTCAAATATGTGGACACAGAAATAACATTGCTGAAAGATTTGTAGCTCATTCCACTCTCAAGACCTCAGCCATCTAAGGGCAGGCTGTCAGAGAAGTCTAATATTTATGGGCTGGTGGTTCAAAAACTCTTCCTCATTCAAAATTGGATGAAGGAACAAAAAAATTGTCAGGTGATAAACCTAGAGTTTCTAGATTCCAAGGTTCTTTTATTCCTGACTCTACCAGATTATCAAAATTAAACGTCAACTTCTTAACAATAGCAAAGGTATTTCATTTTCATAAATGTAACTCATAGTATTTCTTATTCAATGTGGCTTTTTCTTCCTTTGTCTTTTTTCCTCTCTTCCGTTGCAGCTTTCAAAGCAGAAATTCTTTCCATTTTGTTTTGACTCTACAATTCAACACTCAAAATGCATCAGTAGCTAAAGCATTGCTTCAATTCCCACATTTATCTTGGCAAGAATTATTCTATTTTATACCATGAGCATCCTGTTATTTAATTAAGAAAATTTTCCTTAATATTTACACTAGATATGGAAAAGGAGTAAAGATGATGTAAGGAGCAAAACAAAAGGTCTGCTGTTCTTACTGATCTTAATTATGTAATAATAACATAAACAATCCTAGTATCAGGCCAGCTCAGCGCTGTTTCAATGACTTAGTTGGAATACTTATAATTCAACATGGTTTAAATTCCAGTATGGAAGTATACAATCTTATTAAAGATATATTTTATAAAAAATGAAAGAATGCTTATGGGCTCTATTCATCAGAAATGCTATGTCATCTTCCTCCACTAAAAACGTATATCTGCACTACATTTCTTTACCTTTTCTACTTTATCCATGAGAGGTCCACTACCTTTTATATGTCAATGCAATATTTTGCTTACATTGAGCCAAAATATTATAATTCCTTTATTTTCCTCTACTTAAATTGTTCTCACAGAGAACAAGCTACAGTTTATGAAATTATGCAAGTCTAATGAATCTTACCTACCTACTCAGCTCTTGAAAGAGCTCTGAGATTTACATGCTGATGTGGAATATTTCTTTAGCTCTTCTCCGTGTATGCTGTTACTTGAAAGCATAGTTCAAACAGAGGTTGAGACTAATTAAACCAAAGATTCCATTTTCATGTTCCTTTATTGGCTTGTCTCTAAAATTTTAATTTTTTTACTATGTATTATTCTTGTCCCCCAAATACCATACATTTTAAATTGTAAGGGGGGAAAATGCTCTTTAGTATGTGTTGTCAAATATATGACATTTGAGGTGGAGAGGAAGAAAATCAGTATTTAATCCTCAACCTGTGATCTGTCAAAACTATTTAAGTCTTCAGAAAAGCAAGACTGAAACAAAACTAGGACCCCAATAAACATTCTAAACTTCAAGTTCCTTAACATGAAGTGAAAATTTAAGCTAAAAGTAATTAACCCATTCTGATAGCAGCAGCAGAGACCTCTGTGAATTTGACCTTCATGGAAAGGTTCCTCTGTGGCCAGGCCACCTGTGGAATCAGTAATTGGACACAAAGATTTGACATATTTTAGTTTCATAATTTGAGATCTCAATATGTAAAATCTGAAATAACCGAGACACAGTCACAATTAAGCTCTAGAATCCATATGAATTCAAAGAGTTGACACAGGTAAACATCTCAGAAACCTGAAGTGAGAATGTGACAGAAATCCAGACAGCGCTAATATCTCACCTCTAATGCTTCAACACAGTCTGTTATGATTGCACAGATAGCTTTAGTGCTTTATCTAATGAATCCATCTTTTAAGGCTCTAATTAGAAATGATAAAGAGCTAGTAGTAGCTCTGGTATCTGGCTCCAGAGGCACACTCCCAGTTAATCTATACAACCGAAAGCCAACCAAATAGTTGGCTGTTATCTGAAATATATTTTGCACATTATTATTATTTCAGTTGGATGGATGACATACATTCAAAATACATAGCTTTCAGTATAAAAATGATGATGATAAAGCTGAAAATTAAAGCCAATTTAGCCTGTAACTTAAATAATTAAATACATGATCATATCATATTTGTTGCATAGAGCTCATGTCTGGCTGGCTGGAATCCATTTTTACATTTAAGTATTCTGAACTATTTTTGTATTTTCCTTTCTGTATCACTGTTATCAAATGCATGAAAAATATTTTGAGTCTTTTTCTTTCAATGTCTTCTTCTAATTGAGAAAGAATCCAACAATGCAATTTAAGATATTATGAATTGCATGAAATTAATCATGTTTATTTGTCTTTGTTGCTATGCAGCCAATATTTTCAAGAAGTACAAAAGAAGGTAAAGAGCTTTAGTGGTGCAGTTCAAAATGATAGATTTCTAGATAGAATTCCTCACTTAGCAAGTATATATTTCACTGGAACAAATCCAAGTCACTGGACTTCAGAGTTCATCATCTGGACATGAGAAGATACTAGATAATTACCAGGAATATTTCCTGTATCTGACTGCCTGAACATATTACCACATCTGATACCTCAGTACCCAACAAAGACCAAAAAAAGAGAGAGAATTTCGTTCAGGTTGTTTTTATGTAAACATCATTTATGTTCCACTTTCTATACTTTCAGCAACTAAAATTATAACCAAAGTTGTGGAACCAAAAATTAAAGTGATTGAAGGCAGTCTTCAGCCTATTATCAAAACAGAAGGTAAAAATCAATGTTATACATGGTTCCTTAAAAATCCATATAATAGACTGATTTCTATGAATGTATCTACATTCTTTTTGAAACTAACATGCTAAATATTTCTATATCAATGGCATGCTCATTTAACAGCAGAATGCGGAATGTAAGTTATTTAGCAGAGTAGATGGTGCATGAAATGTACTTTCAGTACATTTGCTTGTATTTGATTTCATTTGAACTTAATTTACCATTGCATTAGCACTAGTACCCAGATACTCACCATACAAATAAATCCTAAGCTATTTTTCCTGCACCTAGACTCTTTTAGAGAGTATACTCTTTATAGTTTTGTTTCCAGTCTCCCCACATAAATCTCTTTTATACTGTTGCGAGGTGTTCCAAAAAGTGCAGGCATTTTTGATTCAACAACCTAAGAGAGCACAGAAGCTGTATACCGAAGAAAGCTTTTAAAATGTATATCCACACATGATATATTTTTTAATTAAACCACCAGAAACAGAGGAAATAAGTAGTTGGTGCAGTTGAGTCAAACCTTAGAATCCTTAATTCCAGCCCTGAATGTGTGTCTATATATAATATACATTACATATTCTTATATGTATACATATATAACACATTAAATAGACACATATACTTACATATATACTTATCTCCTGATGTCTCAGACTAGAGCATTAAATAAAGTTACTTTTCTCTCTCCCCCTACTGTGTATGTTAGCCAACTCCAACATCTCTGATGCCCCCTTCATTTCACATATTTTAATTACTCCCAAAGGATCGGAACTTAAGAATTATTTCCATGTCTAAGAATCTTAATGTGGTGACTGGCCACAGAAGAAAGACCAGGTTTTCTTCATTATTCTGTAAGAAGAATAGAAACAGTCTTCCAAAAAAGGAATAGATGATATCCTCAATTGAATCTCAAGAAAACTATTATTGTAATTATCTTTGATTTGGGTATTCTCATTTTACGAATTGAGATGGCAACTTCTTGAACACTTTTGATTCCTCGAAAAGCGTGTCATTACTTAAAACTTAGACATTGGAAGTATGTATGTAAAAGTGTATTTCCTAGCTAGTTATCTATATTTTTATACATTCTTGAGACTTAAAATTGAGGTATTTGGAATCTGTGCTTTTTTTTAAAAACATACTATACCTATTGTCATTTGAGTATTTGATTGCTCTTATATAGTGATGAAGAGAATTTGATGATTTAAGAAGTTAAATCTCAGAAATTTTTGTTGAGAAAATGTTTCTTGATCATTTTAATGAAAAATGATAAAATGATCCTTGATGTTTAGATTCTTGTACTCTTTTTTAAAAATTAGATTCCCTAAAATGTTGTATAATCACTTGTACACAGCTTCTATAGTAAAACTCATTCACATGTACTATTTTTATTTTCAAAGATTCTTCTCTTTTCTTTCAAGCTTCTTCATTCAACCCATTTATCTTCCCAATCTTTGTGAGCAGGATTCTATTGTATTACTTTTCTTCAATTAGGAACACAATGAAGCATCAGCTCTACTTGAGTTTTTCCTATGAAGGGAACTAAGATGAAAAATGGGGTCAAGTCACCTATGCATTAACAACTCTCCAGTTAAAAAATTTGGAAGTTTTACTTTGTGCAATATAATGAGGGAGACAAATACTTATTTTGGCAGCCATTTACAATTGTCCAGTTCTAGAATTACTATTGGCATTTCCTTCTCACTGTTTGAACTTTTGCTGATTCATCGATAACTCTTGAATTCTTACTAAATAAATTAGACCCCAAGACACAATTTTAAGATGTTTCTTATAAACGGTACCTAACCAAATTTTAGAAGTAAGAATAAATCAACTGAATACATATTGAACACGTATTGTGCCGTGTACTCTCGTAGGTGCCCGCCAGGAATAAATATGAAAAAAAAATTTTTTTGGTAGTAAATCCCTGCCTTCATAGAATTTAAGGATAGATGATGTTTCTGAAATTCCAGTTGAGGCTCTTCTAAAGAAATGTCTATTGGGATATTTTATTAACTCATTTCCTGTTCTTAAACTCCTTAGCTGTTCTTTCCTTTTGAAGTTTCCACACCTTAAAAACTTGGGCTTACGTTTTGATACTCAGTGTCCCTTGACCACATAGATCAAATATTATGGTGCGAAATACTTACTGTTTGAATGAACTGTACTCTTGTTTTCATTATTTTAGATTGTCCTAGACTATATGATTCTGGGTAATGGTGTACATTGACAATTTCTGAACAAACAAATAAACCCTCTCAAAGATAAGCAAATATAGTTATATTCAACTGTTGAAGGGTGTCACAGTATGAGTTAAATGTACTGAACTTCTCCTCTAAGAAACAGTCTTGATTAACTAATGTAGTAATCTGCTTTCTAACATTCAAAATGATTTTCTCTGGGAGCAAAATCATTTTGCAAGTCAAATGCAACACTTAACTTTTGCATTTGAAGGACTGTTTAACTATTTATTAGTAAATATATGCATCATTCACATATAGAAGGTAAGTACTCAAATCTATTTTCTCATAAAACCTGAATTTCGTATTTTAAAGGTAGGCATAAAGTTGGGCTTTTTTGATGTTCAGTCTTATGCCCATTAGATAAAAAATGTAAGAGATTGACTGATTAAAAATTAAATTAAAAATTTAACAAGGAAAGAAAGTAATAGACAATATCAGTATGGTAAAGTAAGAGCTACACTAGTTATCATTAGAGCCACTCAAATTTGTACATACTGTATGATTCACAATGTATAGTCACATATAATATTTTGCATGATCATACTTTACAACTATGAATAAATGGATCGATTAAACATCAATTTAAATGCTAAAGCAGATGGAAGTTATTTTAGTAGCACACCAATAGATTGAGTTATTTGTTCTCATAAATACTGTTTAATTTGAGGACAATGGGAACTGTTTAAAACCGATTTCATAAAGCCTGAAACCACTTTGAAATTTGAGCAACACCAAATGTTGAAATAAATTTCCTGTTCTGGTAAATTTAAAGGACTACATTAACATGATAATTTGTCTCCTAAAACAATGCCTTAGGACCCACAATAACAAAGGTCAAAATTGAAGGTGAACCTGAATTCAGGCTGATTAAAGAAGGTGAAACAGTAACTGAAGTGATCCATGGAGGTGCGTTCTCTGTGTTTCCTGTAGCCTACTCTGAACATTTTCAAACAGTGTTGGTTTAAATATATTGAATATCTGAGGTTTTCTCTTGGACTTTTGTTTTATATAAATTGTGGGAAAACTTTTCTCAGTTACAGATTCTTATTAGCCGATCAATTAAAACATAGTTTACCTTTTAATGGATATAGTTGGAATTGATTTAACCATTAACTCACCAGTTCCAACAAAACTGTCATTACTCTGCATATGCAAGGATGATTATGAAATATAATGAAAACAATCACGTCAATACAAAAGAACATATTGTACTTAGAAGAAAGAGTGGCCATTCTATAAGACTGACTAATAAGTCATTGCTAGGACTTGTAAGATTCCCATTCTAATGATGTATAATTCCCTGGATCCTCCCTGAACACTCATTCCACAGTCAAGAGACAAATATGACATGGAGTGTTAGCTTGCTAGTTGGCTCTCTCCCTTACCCAAGATTCAGGACATAACCACTACCTTTTAGACCTCTGTTATATGAATTTATTTGAGATACGTCCCCCAAATTATTATGATTGAATTCTAAATGGCATTGCTGTGAGAAATACATTTAATCATTAAAATGTCTAGCTTATGGCCATTTAGATGCCATAAGGGGATAAATCAAATGCATTTTCTTCCCCTATTTCAGAGCCAATTATTAAAAAATACACCAAAATCATTGATGGAGTGCCTGTGGAAATAACTGAAAAAGAGACAAGAGAAGAACGAATCATTACAGGTAATTTTTTTTTTTAAACAAATGTGATCCTGAATCTCATATTGATCAAAAATAATGAAAATGAATAACAAAAAAATAACTGGCATTGTGCACATGAAACACTGTAAAAGAAACTATCCTGATAAAATATCAATACATCATCCTTGATGATAAAAATCACCTGTGAGTGATAGAAGGGATAATCCAACTCACTTGAAAAATGTAGTTATTGTAAAATCTTCTTAGAAAAGTTTAGGTTGGGATTATAGTTCTCTACTAAGCAGATCTTACAGGTAATTTTTAACTCTGTATATGAACTATGCCTGGATTATAAAGAGCAAACCATTTAATCCCAAAATATCTCTATAAGAATCATTAAAGAAACTAAGTCATTTTCTTAGTGGTTACTGAAGTTATTTTATTTCTTTTTTGGTAGAAATAATACTAATCCTAAATATGTAATCTATGTTTTCCTCTGAATTGGAAATTTTGGGACAAATCTATAAGCCTGTGTTTTTATTATGAATATGCATACACTATCTTCACTTTGCTATTTATTAATGAGTTACTAAATCCTAGAAAAAAACCCATTCCCTCCTTCGATTTTCCTTTAATCTTAAGGTTTACACATACCCATCTACACACCAAAATAATATGCAAGCTTGTATAGAACAACTGATCAATAATTTCAGTAAACCTCTGTATCAGTCTCCCACCAGTGAATTAGTCTAAAATTCTGAATTCAGCTATTTTTTAAGTCTTTGGGAATTCCCTGGCAGTCAATGTTTAAACAAGCAGTCAGCAAATATGGCCCATGCCACCTACTTATGTAAATAAAGTTTTATTGGAACACAGTGTGACCATTCATTTATACAGTGTGTATGGCTATTTGCACTCTAAAGGACAAAGTTAAATAGCTGCAACACAGACCACAAGACCCATAAAGTCTAAATTACTTTCTATGTGACCCTTACAGAGGAAGTTTGCCCAGCCTTGTTTCAGATCCTTATTATTATTATTATTTTTTGTCTTTCCTTTAGGTCCTGAAATAAAATACACTAGAATTTCAACTAGTGGTGGAGAAGCAGACGAAACTCTGAAGAAATTGTTGCAAGAAGGTCAGTATGTCTAGAAGAATAAGAATGTGGATTTCTTTAAGCTATCTAGGTCAAAGTCTAAAATAATCTTTGAAGCCTCTTACACTTTCTACTCTATCTCATTCCTTTGTTCTAGTTCCATACCAACACAAGAAAAAAGTCCAAAGATAGGGAATGAAACTCAAATGACAGTCATATTGATTGTTTTGTTCTATATTTGCTATATAGTGTTTAACAACTTTGTAAGAAAATTGGTTTATCAAAAAGTAACACTAAAAACCAAGAAAGAACCAAGTGTTGGTCTGGAATTCATTGTTGGGCAGATGCCATTATATATCACATCACGTCTCCTGCCTTTTTATTACATAAACCAATTTCTGCTATAAACATGTATCCTCTCAGAGGTCACCAAGGTCACCAAATTCATTGAAGGTGGTGATGGTCATTTATTTGAAGATGAAGAAATTAAAAGACTGCTTCAGGGAGGTTAGTAAAAGGGAAACAACTAACCCACTTAACAGGTTCTGATAACTGAGATTTTCAACTTTTTAAAGACTGAGCATTCAGGTTTTGTTTTGTTTTTTTTTTAGTTAGGTTAAAAAAGACAACATCATGTCTGTCTTAACAGACTGATTGGGTTAATGGTGGTTACAGTAAGCGTTATAAAGAAAGAATTACTAGTTTAAACAGTCTTTAAAAAGTTCATTGGGGAGCAGTGAATATTTTTTTGCTTTGATACAGACAACTGTAAAGATATTTTTGTATGTGAAAGGGGGATACTTTAAAAATTGGTAGTTATTTAAAGAAGCCCAAATTGAAATACTTTTTATATTTTAAAAAATGTATTCACTGCGCCTACAACAATAATAAGAGGCATGTTTATGAATTTTTTAAGTGCATAGATCTAGCAAAAAAATTGCATTTAGTATTTTTATTTTCCAAAACTACATACTTGGGAATGGGTTATCTGTTTCTTCTAACAGTTTGTCATAATCTATACCTGGAGCTGTAAATTATTTTGCATATGAAATTAATTTTAATATTTAAAATATGGAATGTTCTCTGCCTATGGCGTTAAAAGGACCTACTTTTAAAAGGAAAGAAGAAAAAAAAAGAATTCAAAATCTTACACAAACTCTCAATGGTAATTACTCAAAGAAATAGTAAATGTTAAGAAAGTATAATTTGGGTAATTGGTATTTGAATAAATTAATTTCCAGTTCATTTTCTTAACAATAAAAGAATTTAAGGTAAGAAATTGTTTTAGAGAAACAAGTATTTAAATTATTTAGAAAAATCAAATATGCTCTTTGAAATATACTGTGAATTGAGAAACACTAAATTGAAGTTTAATGTTTATCCAAAGTATGGTCCCAATGGGTTTTATCCTTAAAATTTAAAAAAATTGTAGTACTATGTCCAAGAAGTTGTAAATTCTCTTGGGACCATGTATATTTTTGGCAATTATTGTTTTATTCTTTACTTTTATATAGGTAGAATCTCTTACATAGTATTGATACTGTTCAGTGATAGTGAAAATAAATAATTTTTATTGAACCAATGATTGAATTTCCCCTCAATAGAAAAATTTGTGTCTGAAAAATACAAGATTTCCTTTCAGACTCCAGGGAATATGCAACACTCCCAAAGCCACAACAGAACCAGTTTCCTGTGAGATCTAATACAGAATTTACTCATCTACCCCTAAATGCTTAACACTGTACTAGAAAAAGGTAGGGATTTGAGGGAAGAGGTGAAGACATGAAAATTAAGTTGAATTCTTTTTTTTTTTCAGTCCTTGCCATAGTAAGCGGCTTTGTAGAATGGCAGTGCTTTGTAGAGAATGAACCAATTAGTAACTGCACTTGTATATATTGCTTTAATTTATTTAGGCTTAAACTTCGGTAAGTATGTTTTCCTCCCCTTCAATAAGCCCCCATTAACAAGTCCATTATAAACAACGAACTAAGTGCTGAAGACTAACTTCAGCCAAGAGAAGATAATACCTGTTACAAGAATAAGATACTCTAATTTTTGTTAATGGAATCCTTCTTTAACTCTAGTTTATGTTCATCCCAAAGGTTGATTCCTTTAGTTCCCAGTATTTGGTTTCTCCACATATTCATAATGCGCTGGTTTTGTCAATGTCACAACATAAGTTTTTATCAAAACATTTCCAAGGGTTTTTTTTTTCCTCATAAGAAAGACAATATAAGCAGTATAGTTACTAATATCTGGACACTAAGTGGACATGCTAGTTTTCTTTCTTCCAGCCCTGTAAAACCATTGGATCAACACTGAATAACAAGTGTCTCTTGTCTAGATCCCAAGAGGCACCAATTTACAAAGAAGCTGGTGTAAATAAAGATTATGTCATGCAAGATTGGCTTTTTTTTTCTTTCAGAGTATTGATAATTGATCTATAGGTAAATGTGGTCTTCATCTCAAAGCTTGGAGTTTTCTATCTGAACTACTCATATTGTGGTACATATGGTACATTTTGATGAACTGAGTGTATCCCTCAATCATTTAGGTCATTGTTATTAACATGGCTAAGTGGTCAGTTTGGTACCAATATGATCTGTCATTGAAACACTTCAGACCCCTTAACTAAAACTTCTTCTCATAAAATGTGTTGAGTTTTTCACTCTTGTCTTAGATAGAACTACATTTACTGAAACTACTAAAGTAATTAAGGGAGAACAGCAAAGTAGTAGGCTATGGAGAAAGGAACAACAACAAGAAGTTATCTGGGAAGGTTTTGACAAATCTGCCTGTATAACATGTAAAGATTTATGGCTTCTGTAGAGAACATAGGATCAGGTTGTAGGTCTGGCTTCCAATCTGGGTTCCAACTTGAACTAACTTGTATTATAAATTGATGCTTTCCTGCCTTGCTTTCTTAATCTGAAAAGTGGGGATAGTAATGTTACCTACATATAAATGAATCAATATGTGAAAAGCACTTGGAATAATGTTCAGCACATATAAACTCTCAGTGATGTTAGCTACTATCAGGATTACGGTCAATTAACGTTAACATGGTCAACAAAGTAATATTTTACACTCTAAATTTCCAAAGTCATAGCCATGTAAAAATGCAAAAATCTTGCAAATAAGTGAGCTGAAGCATTTTGTATGTTTCAGGAAACATGTGGTGGAGAGGAGCATTTTTGTGGGATTGTTCGATGATTAATTTATCTTGCCATATTTAGCTTCTCTAAACACGACCTAATACAAGTGTCATTCAGTTTGAGATGGCAGAGGGCCACTGAGAGCAAATCTGGTTTTCTGCACTTTAATCAAGCTTTTCTTCCAGAGATGTTTGTTTGCCACAATGAACAATTCTTATTTTGATCTTATCATAGCCAAATAATAATAAATTAACAAGTTAGTTAATTGGATATATATTAATTGCATGCTGCCAAATTTATAAAAGAAAATCTGAGTGTAAGTGCTTGTTTTGAAAAGTAATGTCAAAATATTGTTTTAAATTGCATAATAAGTGCTCTTTGGAATTTAATAAGTCCATTATAAACAATGCTTTTTGTTCACTGCTTAAAGACTGGATCCATCTTTTCATGGCAACATTTTATAAGCCATTTTTTGTGATCAAGTAAACCTGAAGTTAAGAAAAATATATCAACTGGAGCATATTCCATAATTCAGACTTTTCTATCTTACATAAACTTTCCCTCACTAATCCAATCTAATGAGGTTTTCTCTAGTTCTGTATTTTATTATAGTATTAATATAGTGTGATAAATGGCTATGTATCTTATATTCTGGGGGGAAAAAAGACATGTTGGAAATATGCTATGTAGACAGAAACAGAATTCTTCAAAAAATGCTTAATGTTTCTTTCCCTTTTTTTTAAACTTGATATTATACAGCCCACAATACTGTTGGTGATAGTCTCATGTCTTATTTTTTATGGGATTTCAGAGAACTGAATATATATATAAAACAAAAATTTTGACTTCATTGTTGAGTATAGATGATATATAAAAATCAAGAATTCAAAACTTGGAGTAAAAAAGGTAAGCAGAGAAAGAAAGTCGCCATAGGGACCACACTTATTCATTGATCTCAAATGTCCAACGACAGAGTGAAAATGTGAATTTAGGTTGACCAAGTGGTCTTGTCAATGATTTAAAAGAAAAATGAGGAATTGGGAAGTATTTTGCAACTATAACAACAAAAAACTGCATTGTTATGAGACACTTAAAATTCTAAAATAAGAAAGATTTTATTATTTTTAGCTACTTAACTTTTAAATGGTCTTGTAGGATTGGAATTAAATCGGGGAGTATGTTGGCACACACTTCCTGAATTGCTTACTGGTATATTTCTAGAGTTATGATATTTTGTTGTCCTCATGTATTATAAGTTGATCATAGATTAATTTACAATGAGAATTTTACAGAGGCAGAAGTCTGATACATCACAAATAGGAATGACTGGAAAAAATGAGTGGATATCTCTGGGACTTCTGCTAAACTTTATAGAATGTTAGACATCCTTTCATCATAAAGTGATGCTTTTCACAAAAAGGGTGAAAAAGTCATGTAAGTCACTCCATGCAACAATGGAACATCATCTGGGGTGCTACATGCCATAATAAAACAATATGTTTTGCAAATAGTAAACATTCATTATGATATATGGAAAACAAATGTCTGTTTGTTGCCAGTGCAAAAGTCTCACTACTCCAAAAGAAATCTACATGTTTACATGATGTTTATTTAAAACTTTATACTCTTCTGATCAACTATGGTTTCCTGTCTCATATTAGTCATAATTTCAAAGTATTTTTAACTAAAGCTATTTAATTTCAGACACACCTGTGAGGAAGATACAAGCCAACAAAAGAATTCAAGGTAAATATATTGACTATGGTAATTTGCATATAGGACAAACCTTTTGTTATATTAAGACAAACCAAAGAAAAGGAGAGTATTCTAATATATTTTATTTTGAGCAAAGTATTTTGATGATATGAATCAGAAAATAAATCTTTCACTATTAATAGAATATAAGAAAAACAAATGTTAAAAGAAAGGCAATTATACTCATGTAAAGTGCTAGACATACTGAACCACTGAGGTAGACTCAAGTAGAATTAATTTGAAAAGAAACCCTTGAATACCAGAGTTGAGCAAAAATGGGTAGCAGGTAGACCTGAACTCTGTGAAACCATTATTTAAAATGAGGCTACAGTTTGAGACAAAAATAAATTCAAAACTGTATCTACTGTACACATATAGAAAATGATTAATATAGGTATGTACAAAATTTTGATATAATGTGTAGGTTATATACATGTATATATCACCCATGCACTATAATTTTCTTTATAACTTTATTTATGTGCACTTTCTAATCTTCCACATAGGTTACCTTACATTCTGATGCATTCAAAACTCAAAGATTTCCCTTGTGGAACTTAAAATAATTACATATTTGGAATTTCTAAGATAATTATATACTAACAGTCAAAAGAAGTTGAAGGCTTATGAATGCATTATAGGCATATCTGATTTTAACCCAGTCCAATCTAGACATTTGAAACTAAAGACTCAATTGTACACATAATTTTTTTTTTATTGGAGTAAAATTGCTTTACAATGTTGTGTTAGTTTCTGCTGTACAATGAAGTGAATCAGCTAAATGTATACCTATATCCCCTCCCTCTTGGACCTCCCTCCCACCCACCCCCCATCCACCCAACTAGGTCATCACAGAGCACCAAGGTGAGCTCCCTGTGCTATAAAGCAGGTTCCCACTAGCTATTTTACAAATGGTAGTGTATTTATGTCAAACAATCTCCCAATTAGCCCCTCATTCCCCTTCCCCACCCCATGTCCACATGTCCATTCCCTATGTCTACATCTCTATTCCTGCCCTAGAAATAGGTTCATCTGTAAGATTTTTCTAGATTCCACATCTATGCGTTAATGTACGATATTTGTTCTTCTCTTTCAGGCTTAGTTCACTCTGTATGACAGACTCTAGGTCCATCCACATCTCTACAAATGACCCAATTTTGTTCCTTTTTATGGCTGAGTAATATTCCATTGTATATATGTACCACATCTTGTTTATCCATTCATCTAACGCAGGACATTTAGGTTGTACACATAATTTTTAACTGAAGGCTTTATCACAGATTTCTTCTAAACATGAAAATTCATCCAAATTTTCTAAGGAACTAAAATCATCACTTTAAATTATTATTTTCATATACCTTTGATCAAAAGAGGACTTGGTTTTATCATCATAACCAGAATATATTATTAAGAAAACATAATCTAACATTTATTATAATAAGAAATGATGGTCTTTTATAGATATAGTTATGCATAAAATATCATATTCTTAAACACTATAGTTTCATCACATTTACAATCTATATGCTCTCCCTTCTTCCTAATCAGGATCTAGAAGACGATCAAGGGAATATCGTCCTCAGTGAAAATCCAGACACCAGACAACAAAGTTTACAAAGCCCTAAATCAACAACCTGATTTTAAAGGAAAAATATGAGAGCCACGCTGACGTGAAGAACTGAACCACCAGCACAAAAAAGCAATCACTGAACAATTCTGAATGCAAATATAGTATTTTTTTTTTCTGAATGAGAAACAGGAGGGTAATTGTGGGCTTAGCCTCCTGTGGGATAGAATCTGAGGGAAACTTAACAACCTTACAGGCTTTTACATCTTGACATTAAAATTTCTGGCTAACTCTGGAATCCATGAGAGAAAATCCTTGCCACTGGATTAATTACAGTTCAAATCTCAGAGTGGTGAGCTGTTATCCCCTTGAGAAGATTGAACCTTGAATAATGGATAGATAAAATGCATGCAAGGAGTTAGCTCTCAATGGGAAATGGATATATAAAAATGGGTGCTCAGTATAAAAAAAAAAATAAGAAAACCAAAACTTTTGTATCAAAAAGGTTTGCACATTTGTAATACAATGTGGGTTTACCAGAAAATTATGTTATTTCTACAACTAATTTTGTACTCTTGAAATGTTTGTCTTATGCTTCTTGCAATACATATTTTTATCTCAAACATTTCAATAAAACCATTTTTCAGGTATAAAAAGAATTACTTCAAAGTGGGTAATTCAAAAAACTCAAGGTTTAAGTTAATAAGAGGTTTGGACTTGGGAACAGGACTTTATACCTCTTTTTTTTTTATAACAAATACTCATTAAAGGAAATTGAATGAATTTAGTGTTTTTCAAATTTTTAAAACTATTATGATATATAAATAATCATTATACAATGAAGCAATAATTAAACATCAACTGAGTACATAATATAACCCTGGAACTGTGCTAAGTTATGAGGATTCAAAAGAAGAATTAGACAACTACTGTCCTCAAAGGGTAAAAAGATAAATCAATAATCCACAATGTACCATGGGCTATAATAGAAGAATAAACAGCACTACAGGAGCACAAATACCTCAATTAATTGTTCCTAGGCTTAGGCTAACATAGAAGGAGCCAAAGAGATGCCCTTAACAGAGACTTGAAGTAGCATAAGAGTCTACTGCATGAAAAAGGAGGGGCAGAAAAATATTGGTTTGCTGAGAATTATAAAGAGATCAGTTTGATCTACTCAGATCTCAATAAATGTCATCCTTATCTTGGACTAGAGATAAGAGCAGACAGGGAATAGAACCCATACTGCTGAGAAACTGACTTGTGATAGTGTGATAAATTATATCATGCATTGAAAGTTGGTCACTGAGAGACTATAAAACTGAGGAAGACCAAACTAAAGATACCTCTTGGATCAGAGGCTCAGCCCTAGAGTAATACTAAAGGATCTGAAAAGATTTGAGGTAGCTGAAAAGCATTGGTTCTTTGAGGAGCAATTGAGGTAAGGAAGTGAGATATAAAGTTCTAATGGTGCCACTAACTGCGGAAGTCTGGGTAGCCTGGGTTTTCCAGAATGTTTCCTAGTCTGGACAGTGGTGAGATTTATGCCTAGCATTTAGAGCCCTTGCCAAGAAACAAAATGTCCTACCAACTCAGTACTCATGTAGAGAATCTTTGGACTGCAATCTAAACTGGACAGAGTGTGGCTGTGTTTTAACCAAAATGATTCAAAGGAAGTGGTTACGTAAGGTGGTGCTGGTAGAATATACTACATCATCATTAACACAGATGGCTATTCCAGACAGACAGCATGTTGTTAATAATCCTCTGGAAGATCACAGGTTGATTGAATAGAACAAAGAGTATATGGATTCATTCAGTTAGCTCCCTTCAGCGTTTGCATTTGATAATGAACCAGGTGTTGCAAAGTTCGACTTTGAACATGGTCATCGGAGACAGTAGGGATGAAACCGAGGGATATTTTTAAAGACTGTGACCTTTAATTTTAAGGCCCTGATGGGTTTTTTTGTACCATAGGAGAAAAAAAATCAGTATTTGAGAGTATACATACAAAAATCTAGCATGTATCTCTGGGAAAAGACAGCCAAGTGACATATGCAAATATAAAGATAAAATTTAAAGAGAAATTATTTATAAAATAGAAATAAACAAACACAAATAAAAAGAAAGAAGGTTAAAACATATGAAAATAAACAATAATTTAAAACTGCAAAATAAGAATTTAAAATAGGTAGGTAGATAGATAGATCAATAGATAGATAGGTAGATAGATATCAATCTTCCTGGGACACTTTCTACAAATCAAAGCTGCAGAGTAGTACGTGTTTTACACACAATATTTATTCCTTTAAAAATTCTCAAGAGTCTTATTATCTCCAGTTTCATAAGAAAAACATGAGGCTCAATGACTTTACGTAACTTTTCTTACTTCTTTTGCACTGTACTCTTAAATCAGGCCATCAATCAGCTTACAACATGCCCATTACCCAGAAAGCATAAACTTGAATAAAGCAAACACATCTGTTTTTGAAATTGTGCTTACTCTGCACTACTTTATTTCAGCTCCTCTTCTAACCATCCTCTGCATAAGTGGCATTAGATTTAAGGCTGAATTTTAAAATAAGCCCTTCTAGTCAATCCTGATGCACAAGGTCCACCATCCTAACTTTGAGAAATATCGCTTTACAGAGATTTCTGCTGAGACCGTAGTATCCAAGCAACCAGTGATCTACTTTCTGTCACTATAGACACAGCATTTTCTAGACCTTTTATAAACTGAATCACATAGTATGCATGGCTTCTTCTTTGTCTGGCTTTCCTTTCTCTTGGATTAATATGTAGGAGTGGAATGGCAGGACCAGACGAAAGGTATAGGATTAAAGTTTTAGGAAACTGCCAAATCATACTCCAAAGGCGTTCTATTGTTTTGCATTCCCACCAGAAGCACATGAGAGTTCCTGTTTCTCTTGCCAACACTTGACATGGTCAGTCTTTTTAATGTTAGGTTTTCTAATAGGTGTGTAGTGGTATCTCATTGTGCTTTTAATTTGCACTTTCCTAATGTATGTTTTTCATCTGCTTATTTGACATTTGTATATCTTCTTTGGTGAAGTGTCTGTTCAAATCATTTGCCAATTTTGAGTTGTTTTTTAAAAAATTATTGAGTTGAGAGTTCCTTATATATCATGGATACAAGTCCTTTATCAGCTATATAAGGTGAAAATATTTTCTTATAGCATGGGACTTAACTTTTCATTCTCTTAGCATTGTTTTTGAAGATACCAAAGCCTATTTTCTTTTTTTCCCTTTTATGGATTGTACTTTTGGTGTCATATCTAAGAAATCTTTTATTAACCAAAGATCACAAAAATTTTCTATGTTTTCTTTTAGAAGTTTTTATTAGAATTAGGTTTTACATTGATGTATATGATCCATTCTGAATTACTTTTTGTTTATAGTACAAGGTATGAACCGAGGTTCTTCTTTTTTTCTATACATAGCCAATTATTCCAGCACCATTTTCTGAAAAGACTATCCTTTGTCTACTGATTTCCTTTTATACCTGTGTCAAAAATCCATATATTTGTGTATATATTTCTGTTTCTTTCTATTCTCTCCCATTAATCTATTTGTCTATCTTAATTGAAATGTCACAATGACTGGTTTGAAATCAATCAATCAATCTGTTAGAATTAGTACTCCAACTTTGCTCATATTTCTCAAAGTTGTTTTGGCTATTTTAAGTTTTTACATTTCCAGATGAATTTTTTAATCAGTTTGGCAATTTCAACCAAAAAAAAGAGATATCTGCTGGACTTTGAAATTGTGTTGAATCTATGGATCAATTTGGGGATAATCAAAATCTTCACAAACCATGAACAAAATATATCTCTCTGTTTGTATAGGTATTCCTTAATTACCTTACCAATGTTTCATTATTTTAAGTGTACAAGTCTTGCACATCTTTTTGTAGATTTTCCTTAAGTACTTGATATTTTTGATGGTATTATAAATGGCATTGTTTTTATTTCAATTGCTGACTGTTTATTTTCTGTGTATTGATCTTGTATTTTGCAAACTTGTTAAACTCACTTATTAGTTCTAGTGACTTTTTGTAGATTCCATCATGTTTTCTACATTGACAAACATGTTGTCTTCAAATAAAGACAATTTTACTTTTTCCTCTGCCATCTTAATGCCTTTAATATTTTCTTGCCTTACTTCATTGGTTGAAATTGAATAGTAGTATAATTTAGAATAGAAATGGCAGGAGTGGGCATTTTTTTGCTTCATGATCTTAGAGGGAAAACATTCATTCATTCTTTTAGCCCTAAGTATGATGTTTAGTTTCATGTTAGCATCACTACTTTTTCATAGTTCTCCATTATCAGGTTGAAGAAAGTGACTTCTATTTCAAGTTTGCTGAGAATTTTTATCAGGAATGAATGTTGAATTTTACCAAATGATTTTTCTGCATCTATTGGGATGATCATGTGGGTTTTTGTTTTTGACTTTTTTCAGTTTGACAATATGGTGAATTGAATGGAATTAATTTTGAATGTTTTGGATGTAAATCCTTCATTCCATTCATCTCTTTCATTCTGGGATGAATTCTACTTGGTCACGATATATTCAATTTATGAAAGCTTTAACAGTTTTCACATGTATGTTCATGAGAGATATTGGTCTATAATTTTCTTTTATTGTAATCTCTTTGCCTGAGTTTGGTATCATGGTAATGTAGACCTCACAAGATGAGTTGGGAAGAATCTTGTTCAGTTTTTAGGAAGTGTTTTGTATAGAATTGATAATATTTTCCTCCTTAAATGTTTGATAGAATTGATAGAATCAAGGCTTGCAGTTTTCTTTAAAGAAACAACTAAATATCCAATTTATTTAATAAGTATAAGGCTACTCAGATTATCTATTTTTTCTTGAATGAGATTTGGTAGTTTGTGTCTTTCAAGGAACTTGTCCATTTTACACCATTTTGAAATTTATTGGCACAATGTTGGTCAAAATATTCCATTATTATCCTTTAAATATCTTTAGTGATGTCACCTCATTTATGCCCAGTTCTGGAAATTTGCGTCTTCTCTCTTTTTCTCCTAACCAGTCTAGCTAGCCATCAATCAATTTTATTGATTTACTCAAATAAGCTTTTGATTTCGTATGTTTGTCTGTATTGTGTTCCTATCTTCTATTTCACTATTTTCCACTCTTATCTTTATTATTGTCTTTCTTCTGCTTTATCTGGTTTTAATTTGATCTTGATTTTCTAATTTCTTAAGGTAGAAGCTGAAGTCATTGACTTAAAAACTTTCACTTTTCTAATACCATACTTTAGTATTATAAATTCCCCCACTAAGTATTGCTTAGTGGTCTCTCACAACATTTCACATGTTTTAAAAATTAAATTAAATTAAATTCAAAGTACTTTCTAATTTTCTTTCTAAATATGTTTAAAAGTTCCATTATCTTTTTAAGATATTGAAATAATAAGAAAAGTATCTATTTACATGTGTAGTGATGATTTCTCATGTTCTTTGTTCCTTTGTATAGATCTATATTTCCATCTGGTATCATTTTCCCCTTCCTAACATTTCTTTTAGTGCAGATCTGCTGGCGATAAATTGAATTTTTCTGTCTAAAAAAATCATTATTTTGTCTCTGTTTTTGAAAAATATTTTTGCAGGATATGCAATTCCAGATTGCCTTTTTAAAATTTATAATGCTTTAAAGATGTTACTTCACTGTTTTCTTGCTTGTCTCATTCTTATTTGCTCTGTATTTAATATGTGCTTTTTGCTTTTTGATTATTATGTG